GGCAACTATTTTCTAATATTTGAAGTGTTTCCATGACATAGATATGAGCAATTGCTCCTTTTCTCTAGGAGACTGAGGTAGATTTTTAGCTCAGCATCAGGAGAAAAATATATGTAACACAGGTCTCCAACAATCTCTACAATAGAGTAGATTTGAAAAACTAAGGCCCATTTTATTATAAATTTCCAAATTGATAAGAATAATTACTTAGGAAAAATAACATTAAAGGAATTTTTCTATTATTTAAAGAACCAGACCAAATCAGTGGCCTCAGTCTGGCTGTGTGTTAGAATCAACTGGAAGACTATGGAACACTATTAATTTTTAAGGCTTCATGCCACTGAATCATAATCTGTGGGAGCTGGGATCTGAGAATCTATATCAAGAATCTAAATTTTGTAATCCACTCAGATGATCCTGGTGACCTGCCAAGCTTGGGAATCACTGAACTAGATTACTTTAAAGTTCTCTTTTAAACTCTCTGATTTAAGGATTCTTAGAAGGTTGCAGAATATTTTCTTTAATAAATAATGGAGAATTATTTGTAATCCATAAAATGAATTTGGTCTAAGTGAACACAGGTAGCTGTAAAGGGCCAGCAGACCAGTTGAATAGGTTAAAATCCTTCCTGCAGGTAAGTAATGAAAACTTTCTCATGTATCATGGAAAGGAAAGCTTTATCTGGCCTGTTTCCCAATTATTAAAGTTCCAAATCACTGAAATATAAATGAGTGAGACTTTACCGTACTCAGAACACCAGTACGATGAAAAATTTGTTTACACCAGGAGGTTTTAGGTTATTCTTCAATCATTCATCCCCGGAACCAAAGTACATCTGCGCATGAACACACACATGCCCAGGCGCGCACCCACAGGACACATGGTAAATGTCGGGCAACTACCAAGATGGAACAAAGCAGACCTTTGAATGCCATCACCTTTTTTAACCTTATACTTTCTATGTGAGAATCTAGGAACTCTTGTCAGAGGCATCCAGTAGTAGTATTAATCACAACACACTAAGCTCTTTGTTTAAATTTCTCTGATTCTGTATCTTTTAAATGTATTACTTTGGTCTAGGTGTTGCTAAGATGAGGAGTGAAAAGGAGTATTTTTTAAAAATATTAACAGATTCGAAGAGAACATATTAATTTTGACTAAATTGGCTCCTACGTGAAGAACTTCCAGGAAGTATACTGTGCATCCATATGAAGGAACTCTAATTATTGCAATAGGGCCACATTTGTAGATTTTGCCTAACCTAAAATTCAACCTAGAAGGCTCTGCTGGAATTATTTAGAAAAGAATCACTGAAACCTCCTTCAGCGAGTTAATTCAGATTCTCCTAATTTCACTTTCCTGGCTCACAAAGTGTCTTCTCTTCATGGTGTTTTCAAATTTAAGTTCACAGATGTCAAATAAGCAGCATGATAATCAGAGGTTTCAGTGTCCAAAACACATTCATTATTATCACTGTGGACATCGTCACTATTATAATTGCACATTCTAAAAAGAATGGAAGCTTTTCCACAGAAATTAATCACGTGTATTACTTTTTAGGAATAATTGAACAGTTGACATTGCATTTATATCAAAATAAAATATGTGATGGTTTTTCCTCATTTGTTTTATTCTTAAGAAATGAGAAGTGTAATTTCTATTCATATTTTTATATGAAAATTTCACAGTTTTATGTAAGGCCCAAATGTATATTTTCTTATAACAAGGCTCAAAAGATAGCCAATATAATTAAAGTGAAATTTTCTAAGAACATGTAATTATAGTTAACAACTGGGTAGTGCAGTCCTCTTAACTAGCTCGTATTTATATACATGAATTTAACAAGAATCTCAGTGAGAAATATTACTTTTCTTTTTTAACTATTTAATCGGGTTAAAATAAAGCCCACACTGTGTTGTCAATACCTAAAGATTAATTAATAATAATTTACCTTAGAGTTTACATAGAGCTTTAATAAAGCAGGTCAGACATTATTATCCTATTAGAGATGAGAAAACATAGGCTCCGAGAAGCCAACTAATTTATTAAAAACTAACTGCTGAACAGCATAATTAACCTTAGAATCCAGGTCATCTGGGTCTCAATCAAAAGTTAAGGTAAAATAAAAAATTTTTTTTAAGGTTTGAATTAAAAAAGATGGTGGGCCTGGTAGAGCGAGAAGGCCCTTCTCTGTACTGCTCTGCCCTCTGTTTGACAAAGGGAACTTTCTGGTCTCTCAGTAAAAAGGACATGTACTTACCATGTGAGGCTGTTTGAGCGTCTGGAGAAAATGGGGAGGAAGCCACTCGTTGGTTGTTACTCTCTGTTCTCCTGCGCTGTGCTACTTATCGCACACTATCTATTCCACTCTTGGTTTCTGTGTGATTCACCTTCACAAAGTAGAGTTTTATACTTGATTTAGAATTCACACTGGGTCGGCAAGTTGAGTAACACAAGCTTTAGAAACAAAAAAACTCCATGTACCATGCCGTGACCAGCAGAACGAGTGACAGGATACACAGCGATGGGAGAGGTCGGGAACAAGTCTTGGCCCACAGGGAGGCAATGCAAGCTCAAAGCACCGCGTGTCCGTGGAAAGCGCCGCCCGTGAGGGTGGGTTGGACTGGAATTCCCTGTGGCTCCTTGTGATTCCTGCGTCCCCCTGCATCCGAAGTTTATCTTAGTCCATGAAGTCTTTCATTGCCACCCTGCTGGCTGGCCCCCGGAGCCCTGTGTCTGCTGGAGGGTGGAAGGCGTTGTCGTTTGCCGGCTGTTGGGTGGCTTATGGTTGGTAGGTAGCCACACGGCAACGACTGGCTCCTCGGGCAGAGAGGACAAAGAGTCCAGAGCCTTTCCCCATCTGCAGAGGTGGCCCATCTAAATGAGTCTGAAAGTCACCGGTGGGGTTGGTAGGAAGCTAGTCTCACCAGTTACTGAAACAACCTTGCAGACACAGTCGAGCCCCGCTTTCATCGCCCTTTGTCATCCCTGAAATGCACTTTGAAAGCAGTGCCCTTGCATAGTAAACCAGAGATTCAGGTGTAGCGGTTCAGCCATACCACCACCCCAGTGGGTCCTTCCCCCACATCCAACCAGCAGGGATCCATCTGCATGCCCCCACCTGTGGTCTGGCAACAGGCAGCTGTGTTGTGGCACGCAAGATGCTGACGTCCAGTTGCACTAGCCCATCTACCCATAACTGACAGTGATCTGGAAGTAATATTTGCTCTCATCTTAACTTCTCTCATACAGCTGATTATTCAGAAGAAAACTACAGTAAGAAAACAAATTAGTCCTGTAACTAATAAACCTAGGAGAGTACATGGCATGTCAGTTATGTATGTATCATTTCAAAACAGAAGAGACATTATTTACTGCCTTGACCCCTCAGCACCTATCACTGAAACCCTCAAGCATGGGCTCTTGGCTGTTGTGTTCTGTTTTTGTTCCCAACTACTGCTCTGTAAGGCATGGGGCACTTTAAATCCAGAGAAACTGTGTTCTGTGTGTGTGGCTAAATGAACATTGCCAGCTGACAGTACATTTGGCTTTTTTCTCTCAGTACAGCTCCCCCTATCCTGGAGGCCCTAATGGGAGTTTCTCTAGAAGGTGTTTTCCTACTGAGGCATACACAATGCATTCGATGGCACCAGAGTGGCATTAAAGGAATTCTCTGTCCCCTTCTTTCACATGAAAGTGTCATTAACTGTATTCAGTCAACTCTCCAAATGTTAGGTTCTTAACCAGCAGCAGTGCTTGCCCGCCAGGGCACACCTGAGTCAGAACGGTGGGCTGAACATGTTAGTCATAGGCTGGGAGCCACACTGTGGGTTGTGGTCATATTTAGAAGGAACCTTTTGTATTTATTGACTTTTTCCTTCAATCATGGTTGTTCCATTTCTTCCACCACCACCTTCAGTGTTTCAGGTAAATGAGAAGTTCAATTATATGTAAAGTGACCGTTAAATCACAGGCCCTCCCCACTCGAGTGGCCGGTGTGCTCAACGCATCCATGTTGCTGAGGCCTGCACACCATCGGGCGTGCCAGCCGGGGTGCATCTCTCAGCTTTACTGCCTAGGCAATGCGGCAGGCCTCTTCTCAGGAGCTGCCAAGCTGCCTGGGAGTCACAGTCACGCTTAGTGGCAGCGAATTGCCAGCTCTTGATGGGCGGGTAGTCACTCTGTTCCATGGCTGCCCCCTGGGGGAGAAGGTAGGAAAACAGAGGAAGGGAATTAGAGTTAACTTGGCACAGCTGAGCAGGCCCACGCCGCTGGATCGCTGGCACGCACTGGCAGGACTCCACTCGGGGGAGGCTCACAAGTGCCTCACAGTCTCATTTTTACCAGTTGGAGCTGCTGGGTCCCCGGTGGCTCCCGGGAGGAATAGGGGCGGGGGTGAGGGGTGGGGGCTGGAGGAAGATGACGGCAGGTACCTCAGCTGAAGTTAACAGACAAAAGGTTGCGCTGGTACCGGTTAACCCACCCCAATTATCCCTGTGCTACTAATTGTACCAAATGGGTATGTGAAGTTCCCTGGGTGATTAAAAAGTTGGCTCACAAACTCTCTGCATAACCTTAATTTCTTCAAGGTTCTTTGAGTGGAGAATGGCTTATAATAATGATTTTGACTAATACGATTTTTGACATGCAACTTTAATGCTTAACCTTAGTACAACTCCAGAGCATTTCATGTGTACTCAGCTGTAAAGAGTGATGATTTAAAGGGATAATATAAGAAAAAGGTCATTCTAGAATGAACCTCTAACAAATTGCATAAAGGGAGCTTATTATTCCATGAGTATGGGGATATGCTGCTCTTCTGATCATTTTTCTGCTTGGCTCAAAAAAAATTGTTGAGACATGAATGGGAGAAGAAACAGGACAAAGTGAAATAGAAATCTGCAAGCAAGGAACATTCTTTTGATGGTTATGATTTCGTTGCCACTAAAAAGACTCTAGAATAATGCGGCTTTTCATCTCCTCTTTTGTTTTGGGTGAAGAATTCGCTCTAACAAGAAAATGCTGTTATTGGTCGGGGGATTGCCTCCAGGGCCGGACCGGCTCCCCAGCAATCTGGTTCAGTACTATGACGATGAGAAGAAGACGTGGAAAATACTCACAAGTGAGTACCTCCTTTCCTTATCCACCTGCCTACTCATTTCAGGTCAGAGCTGTCGTGATGAATTCAAACACATGGCTAATCAGCTTAGACATGTTATTGATTTGTTACCGTTGGAGATCTGGTTATGTACCACAGGGGATTTAGAGTAAAAGGCTAAATAAATTAACTCTGCAGAGGTGGCCAGTCTGGTAGTCGAATGAGACTCAGTTAAAGCTGGCCTCAGGTCTCCGCCCGAGTTTGTGCTGTTGTGTATGCTGAGTGAGGGGAAAGGTGTCCGAAAATTCTTGAGCTGGCTTTTTTTTGCTTGTTGAAAAGTGAAAGGTTGGTTAACAGCACTAGCAAATTTTCTCACATCACAAACAGTTGTTTAGTTCATCGTCTTTGCAACTAACATTCCTTTAGCTTTTTAGGCACTTTTGCTCATTACGCTTCAGTCTGTGGAACTTGGTCTTAGAGAAACGTCGCCCTCTATTGCTCCACAGTTTGGATGGACAGATGGGTGGCCTGTCCCCACTGCATTAAATTGTGCTTGCAGACTTTCACCCAGGCTTTCCCGCCTCCCCTCCTTAAAGGGTGATTGTATTTTACAGCAAACCCCTTGCCCTGGGCACTGAGATTTGGAACTTATTGTTATATTGGTTATGATTGCCAATCTGATGCAGTCATGGAATCAAAAATCATCATTTCCTGAGTGCAGCAGGCCATGTGCACCAGTCCCCTCCTGGGCACAGTGGCTGCACTGGTCAATAAAACTAAATTTTTATTTGTAGATTTTGCCTAACCTAAAATTCAACCTAGAAGGCTCTGCTGGAATTATTTAGAAAAGAATCACTGAAACCTCCTTCAGCGAGTTAATTCAGATTCTCCTAATTTCACTTTCCTGGCTCACAAAGTGTCTTCTCTTCATGGTGTTTTCAAATTTAAGTTCACAGATGTCAAATAAACAGCATGATAATCAGAGGTTTCAGTGTCCAAAACACATTCATTATTATCACTGTGGACATCGTCACTATTATAATTGCACATTCTAAAAAGAATGGAAGCTTTTCCACAGAAATTAATCACGTGTATTACTTTTTAGGAATAATTGAACAGTTGACATTGCATTTATATCAAAATAAAATATGTGATGGTTTTTCCTCATTTGTTTTATTCTTAAGAAATGAGAAGTGTAATTTCTATTCATATTTTTATATGAAAATTTCACAGTTTTATGTAAGGCCCAAATGTATATTTTCTTATAACAAGGCTCAAAAGATAGCCAATATAATTAAAGTGAAATTTTCTAAGAACATGTAATTATAGTTAACAACTGGGTAGTGCAGTCCTCTTAACTAGCTCGTATTTATATACATGAATTTAACAAGAATCTCAGTGAGAAATATTACTTTTCTTTTTTAACTATTTAATCGGGTTAAAATAAAGCCCACACTGTGTTGTCAATACCTAAAGATTAATTAATAATAATTTACCTTAGAGTTTACATAGAGCTTTAATAAAGCAGGTCAGACATTATTATCCTATTAGAGATGAGAAAACATAGGCTCCGAGAAGCCAACTAATTTATTAAAAACTAACTGCTGAACAGCATAATTAACCTTAGAATCCAGGTCATCTGGGTCTCAATCAAAAGTTAAGGTAAAATAAAAAATTTTTTTTAAGGTTTGAATTAAAAAAGATGGTGGGCCTGGTAGAGCGAGAAGGCCCTTCTCTGTACTGCTCTGCCCTCTGTTTGACAAAGGGAACTTTCTGGTCTCTCAGTAAAAAGGACATGTACTTACCATGTGAGGCTGTTTGAGCGTCTGGAGAAAATGGGGAGGAAGCCACTCGTTGGTTGTTACTCTCTGTTCTCCTGCGCTGTGCTACTTATCGCACACTATCTATTCCACTCTTGGTTTCTGTGTGATTCACCTTCACAAAGTAGAGTTTTATACTTGATTTAGAATTCACACTGGGTCGGCAAGTTGAGTAACACAAGCTTTAGAAACAAAAAAACTCCATGTACCATGCCGTGACCAGCAGAACGAGTGACAGGATACACAGCGATGGGAGAGGTCGGGAACAAGTCTTGGCCCACAGGGAGGCAATGCAAGCTCAAAGCACCGCGTGTCCGTGGAAAGCGCCGCCCGTGAGGGTGGGTTGGACTGGAATTCCCTGTGGCTCCTTGTGATTCCTGCGTCCCCCTGCATCCAAAGTTTATCTTAGTCCATGAAGTCTTTCATTGCCACCCTGCTGGCTGGCCCCCGGAGCCCTGTGTCTGCTGGAGGGTGGAAGGCGTTGTCGTTTGCCGGCTGTTGGGTGGCTTATGGTTGGTAGGTAGCCACACGGCAACGACTGGCTCCTCGGGCAGAGAGGACAAAGAGTCCAGAGCCTTTCCCCATCTGCAGAGGTGGCCCATCTAAATGAGTCTGAAAGTCACCGGTGGGGTTGGTAGGAAGCTAGTCTCACCAGTTACTGAAACAACCTTGCAGACACAGTCGAGCCCCGCTTTCATCGCCCTTTGTCATCCCTGAAATGCACTTTGAAAGCAGTGCCCTTGCATAGTAAACCAGAGATTCAGGTGTAGCGGTTCAGCCATACCACCACCCCAGTGGGTCCTTCCCCCACATCCAACCAGCAGGGATCCATCTGCATGCCCCCACCTGTGGTCTGGCAACAGGCAGCTGTGTTGTGGCACGCAAGATGCTGACGTCCAGTTGCACTAGCCCATCTACCCATAACTGACAGTGATCTGGAAGTAATATTTGCTCTCATCTTAACTTCTCTCATACAGCTGATTATTCAGAAGAAAACTACAGTAAGAAAACAAATTAGTCCTGTAACTAATAAACCTAGGAGAGTACATGGCATGTCAGTTATGTATGTATCATTTCAAAACAGAAGAGACATTATTTACTGCCTTGACCCCTCAGCACCTATCACTGAAACCCTCAAGCATGGGCTCTTGGCTGTTGTGTTCTGTTTTTGTTCCCAACTACTGCTCTGTAAGGCATGGGGCACTTTAAATCCAGAGAAACTGTGTTCTGTGTGTGTGGCTAAATGAACATTGCCAGCTGACAGTACATTTGGCTTTTTTCTCTCAGTACAGCTCCCCCTATCCTGGAGGCCCTAATGGGAGTTTCTCTAGAAGGTGTTTTCCTACTGAGGCATACACAATGCATTCGATGGCACCAGAGTGGCATTAAAGGAATTCTCTGTCCCCTTCTTTCACATGAAAGTGTCATTAACTGTATTCAGTCAACTCTCCAAATGTTAGGTTCTTAACCAGCAGCAGTGCTTGCCCGCCAGGGCACACCTGAGTCAGAACGGTGGGCTGAACATGTTAGTCATAGGCTGGGAGCCACACTGTGGGTTGTGGTCATATTTAGAAGGAACCTTTTGTATTTATTGACTTTTTCCTTCAATCATGGTTGTTCCATTTCTTCCACCACCACCTTCAGTGTTTCAGGTAAATGAGAAGTTCAATTATATGTAAAGTGACCGTTAAATCACAGGCCCTCCCCACTCGAGTGGCCGGTGTGCTCAACGCATCCATGTTGCTGAGGCCTGCACACCATCGGGCGTGCCAGCCGGGGTGCATCTCTCAGCTTTACTGCCTAGGCAATGCGGCAGGCCTCTTCTCAGGAGCTGCCAAGCTGCCTGGGAGTCACAGTCACGCTTAGTGGCAGCGAATTGCCAGCTCTTGATGGGCGGGTAGTCACTCTGTTCCATGGCTGCCCCCTGGGGGAGAAGGTAGGAAAACAGAGGAAGGGAATTAGAGTTAACTTGGCACAGCTGAGCAGGCCCACGCCGCTGGATCGCTGGCACGCACTGGCAGGACTCCACTCGGGGGAGGCTCACAAGTGCCTCACAGTCTCATTTTTACCAGTTGGAGCTGCTGGGTCCCCGGTGGCTCCCGGGAGGAATAGGGGCGGGGGTGAGGGGTGGGGGCTGGAGGAAGATGACGGCAGGTACCTCAGCTGAAGTTAACAGACAAAAGGTTGCGCTGGTACCGGTTAACCCACCCCAATTATCCCTGTGCTACTAATTGTACCAAATGGGTATGTGAAGTTCCCTGGGTGATTAAAAAGTTGGCTTACAAACTCTCTGCATAACCTTAATTTCTTCAAGGTTCTTTGAGTGGAGAATGGCTTATAATAATGATTTTGACTAATACGATTTTTGACATGCAACTTTAATGCTTAACCTTAGTACAACTCCAGAGCATTTCATGTGTACTCAGCTGTAAAGAGTGATGATTTAAAGGGATAATATAAGAAAAAGGTCATTCTAGAATGAACCTCTAACAAATTGCATAAAGGGAGCTTATTATTCCATGAGTATGGGGATATGCTGCTCTTCTGATCATTTTTCTGCTTGGCTCAAAAAAAATTGTTGAGACATGAATGGGAGAAGAAACAGGACAAAGTGAAATAGAAATCTGCAAGCAAGGAACATTCTTTTGATGGTTATGATTTCGTTGCCACTAAAAAGACTCTAGAATAATGCGGCTTTTCATCTCCTCTTTTGTTTTGGGTGAAGAATTCGCTCTAACAAGAAAATGCTGTTATTGGTCGGGGGATTGCCTCCAGGGCCGGACCGGCTCCCCAGCAATCTGGTTCAGTACTATGACGATGAGAAGAAGACGTGGAAAATACTCACAAGTGAGTACCTCCTTTCCTTATCCACCTGCCTACTCATTTCAGGTCAGAGCTGTCGTGATGAATTCAAACACATGGCTAATCAGCTTAGACATGTTATTGATTTGTTACCGTTGGAGATCTGGTTATGTACCACAGGGGATTTAGAGTAAAAGGCTAAATAAATTAACTCTGCAGAGGTGGCCAGTCTGGTAGTCGAATGAGACTCAGTTAAAGCTGGCCTCAGGTCTCCGCCCGAGTTTGTGCTGTTGTGTATGCTGAGTGAGGGGAAAGGTGTCCGAAAATTCTTGAGCTGGCTTTTTTTTGCTTGTTGAAAAGTGAAAGGTTGGTTAACAGCACTAGCAAATTTTCTCACATCACAAACAGTTGTTTAGTTCATCGTCTTTGCAACTAACATTCCTTTAGCTTTTTAGGCACTTTTGCTCATTACGCTTCAGTCTGTGGAACTTGGTCTTAGAGAAACGTCGCCCTCTATTGCTCCACAGTTTGGATGGACAGATGGGTGGCCTGTCCCCACTGCATTAAATTGTGCTTGCAGACTTTCACCCAGGCTTTCCCGCCTCCCCTCCTTAAAGGGTGATTGTATTTTACAGCAAACCCCTTGCCCTGGGCACTGAGATTTGGAACTTATTGTTATATTGGTTATGATTGCCAATCTGATGCAGTCATGGAATCAAAAATCATCATTTCCTGAGTGCAGCAGGCCATGTGCACCAGTCCCCTCCTGGGCACAGTGGCTGCACTGGTCAATAAAACTAAATTTTAACTGTCAAAATTGCCCTGAGCTGGATAGATAAAATAATAAATGAGCGATTTTGATCCATAAATCAAAGCCATACATTTAAAACTGACAAAAGTGCAAGTTAGAGGTCTCTGATTCCATGTGTCCTATAAGCAGTTATCTATTTTATCAAATAAAAAAAAATCACTTCCTTTCCTCTTCCTGAAAGCCCTTTAAAATAACAGAAAAAGGACAACAGTTTGCACATACGAGCCGAGGAGCACAGAAATGTGAGGTGGTGCTTGAAATAACACACCTGGAGCGGCTCACTATGCGGGTGGCGAGGTTGCCCAGGGACGCGGCGTGCAGGCAGGAAGCCGTGGGGGAGTAGCCATGAGATTAAGGTGCAGGAAGAGGGGAAATCTGCTAGAGATGCCATAAAATGGTCTTCATTCTCTTTTTGACCAAAACACCGTTGTTAGTGGTTTGAACATCTGAATGTGCCACCAAGCTGAATTTTAAAGATTTGTCAGAAGCTCAAGCTAAAGTGAAACCAAAGAATCAGTTTTCTGACCCTTGATCAGTGGAGAAAACCTCCACAGGATGAGACAGAGATACCGGGAGGAAGAGAGAGAGGAGAGAAAGATAAAAGGCTCTTGGGGAGAGATGACAAAAACAGAGGCAAAGCACAGGGGGTAGGCCAGGATGTGGGAGCTGTTCACCCAGAGACGAGCTGGGGGGTGCCCAGCCTGCTCCTAGTTTGAAGCCCTTCGTTAAAGGCAAAAAGGTTAATTAAATCGTTGTTCAACACCTAAATCCTATGTTCATTCTAAACTGGCTCAGAGACAGGGCGCTCACCCAATCTGTTGTCCAAGCCAGGGCGCTGTGTAGAGCATGAAACAGGAACACATTAACCACGCAGGGACAACCGGGCTGGGCCCAACCGCGCGGCCACCTCACTCAGGGGCATCATGCTGCCCGACCGACGTGTACACAGATGGATTCAGCATGGCAGCACGAACCTGCATCACTCAGGCCTCCGCACATCATAGACACGTGCTCAGCCGTGGTGTCTTCATCTTGCCAGCACCACGGGGGGGATTTTTAAGACAAAATCTTGTGTAAAAATCATCCAGCACATAGCATCCACTCAACCAGTGGCAGGTGCTAGGTGTTATTGTTAGGCTCCTGCGAGATCCGCACACAGGCCGTGGGGGTCTCAGGCAATGCGACTTTCCATGCACAGGCACACAGATCCCACCACAATGATACAGCATTTCGACCCACTGCTCTGGAGCAGTGAGCCATTTCTCATAGTTTTCATATGCTGTTAGTACAGGCTAAGAAGTAAAGGTAAATAGGCATCTGTTGACCCCATTCACCAGATGTAAAATTGAAGGAAATAAAAACATTAACATACAGAGAAGTGCTTTTAATGGGAACATAGTCAAGGATCTTGAACCTTTTTTCCTACACTCAGGCATGCTTATAACTTTGAAATAAATGTCTACTCTACTTATACTCTTCTTTCCACTGGGACTTGTACTTTAAAAAAAATTGGGTTTATTACCTGCTGGGCTGTGACAGCATGGCCTCAAGTGAGGGCATATTTTTCAGGTTTGCTGGAGAAATGTAGATAGCTTATCTGGATGATTGCCACTGTTTGGTTTGTGTTTTTTAATTAAGGCATCTTATCTGGCTACAGAATAAATAAGTCAGGCAACTGATAGACTTGCACACTGTTTGGGCCACCTTCAGTAAATGAAGAAATGTTTCTCAGTGCCCTAAGAAAGGTCCAGGGTCTCCCCAAATCACACAGACCATTAGGGATTTGCAGAGCCTCCCAGCACTATCGCTTTAACTTGGCGGGGAGGTCAGGGCAACAACTAACATGGGGAGGGGGCTGCTGGGGGGATGGGGGTGTCTGCTTATTTGTTTGATGACTGTCCCCATGCAGACCGACCGTCAAGGGAGCTGACCAGCAGAATCCTAAAGCTAGAGCCTCTGAGTCTTAGAACCTTTTGCCCACTTGGCTTGAGCAAACATTTCCCAGCCCGTCCCACCCACAGGCTCCTTCTAGAAAGATGTCATTCCATATTTACTGGGACCAGGTCACGTACACATGTTATATAGCAAAGAAGAAAGAAGAGGAGCGTCAGTCATTTTTTTTATTACGTTACTTATATTCTAGAAGCACTGCTGAAGGGATATGAAAATAATAATAAGCTGAGTGGACTGGAGGTACGTGGAGATGAAAATTGGGGGCTACATAACATAAAGCAATTCAGCAGTGTGGTGTACCCCAAACTCCAAAGAGAACAATTATTCTCCAGAAAAGACTGGTTTGGTAACATGTTAGCATGGACTACATTTTTTATCCTCCTCTTTAGAAAGATCATTTAACATAGTATAATATAATTAATGTTAATAGGGACAGAGCTCCCCCATCTCATCAGAAAACTATTGAGAAATATTGTGTAAAAATGGCTGTAAGGTCCTTTTGTAACTGTGAAGTGTTGAATAATACCTGTTGTTCTCTTGGCTGCCGGTAGTAAGAGGGAGGGAGACATGCACTTGCATTTATTTCCAGGCTATGCTATGCTTTTCTTTGCTCACCCCCGCACACAGTCTCCCATTTCATTCTAGCCTCTGAGAAAGCAGTACAGGAGACGTGAGTCCCGAAATGGCCAATGCCTCCTGCCCTTGGCAGGCCCCAGATCCCTGGCACGAAAATCAAACACGAACCCATCACTGCCGTGTACTTTTTGTAACCTGTTTCTTACATGTCAAAGTTTTTGGGAAGCTCACATGTGGAAGCAGCTTGCATTCCTCCCAGAGAATCAGCACTGAGGGGCCACCTGTTCCCATTATTCCCCACTAACAGGTTCTTCGCTGGTGGGTCAGTGTGTTGCCCAGGGTCTGATGGTTTTTTTCCTGCATTTCAGAGAACAGATCCTACCTGACAGGTGCTTTTTACTGCTTTCTGTGAGCAAGGACAGGACAAAGGATTTCAAAATACAGATTGATCCTTCCCTGTGCCCAAGATGACTTCCCTGCAGTGACGTTAGAACGAGAAGAGCCAAGTGAGAAAGGCCCGCTCCTTCTCTCGGCCTCTCCCAGCTCCCTTTGTCAGATGGACGGGAAGTGCCTGTCCTTCCCCTTCCTCGCAGCTGATTTGCAGCTGTCAGAGTCACTCTGTCTTCCTCATGCCAGGGCAGGGGTCTGGGGCCTAGGAAACCAGGGGAGCTGCTGTGCGGAGGTTCCCGGGGCATCTCCGCTGGTCCGCGGGGGACGTTCACCTCTCCCCACCCATGCAGGAGCTGGGACTGGGTGCCATCAGTGTCTTTGAAGAGTCACAAAGGTCAGAGACTGCTGGACAATTTTTAAAACATATACTTTCCATAAATATTGATGGAAAAGTACTGAGAAAACAAATGTTATGTAAGACATTGAACTTCAGTTCCAAAAATAAGGACAGGATTGATCCCATCCAACATCTGAGCAGCCAGGATTATTCAGGGAACAATGAACCTTCGCACTGACCGGCAGCCGGAGCTCTTTCCCTGACCCTCCTGGCCCCTGGGTTCAGTTCATGTCTGGGTTTTGAGGATTTATGGGGTGGGGGGAGCCAGGTGAGTCAAAAGCTAATAATCACTACTTACGATTGTTTGTTTAGAAAGAAATAATAAGTAAGTTCACTTGAGGGTTTTATGCCTGCAGGTTTCCTTTATTAATATTATCTTTAGAACCAAAACCCACAAATTAATCTGATTTCTAGACAGGCAAATAGAATTTGTAGATTGCATGTATCCCTGCAGGAGAACCTGAGGAAGCCATCAGCTGCCCCCAGAGTGACTCTGACAGTGCCTCAAATGAAATTAGACTTATTTACAGACCTCACACCTTCATGCAGCAAGCAATTATTGAATTCCCACTCTGTGAATAAGATAATCTCTCTTCTCAAGACCCTCAGGAGGCAATGACAGCAGAGTATGCTGAGAGCTGGTCAGGGGAAGCCCAGGGCACCCTGGGAGCTTACAGAGGGGCCCCTGGCCTACACACGGGAGGTTAGGAAAGTTTTGCTAGATAGCCTATGTCACTTTAAACAGCATAATGAGTAGGAATTATCAAAGAGGCAGAGCAGAAGGTGTTTTAGGAAGATGGTCCTGTTCAGGAAATGCCAAAAAAACAAGCAAAAGTGGTGCCTTCTGGAAACTGAAGTGAATTTGTGCATCTATAGGGGGGTCTGCGGGGTTAACCCAGAACCATATCCCACGGAACT